CATTTCTAATCATCTGTGTAGCGCCCCTAGGTGCGCTTACTGGGAAGATTCTAGCCTATGTCCATCCTGGGTCGGAGCTTCATAGCGTGTGTCTGCCTGGGAGCTGGGAGCATGGCGTCTCTCTGAGGCGTCTGCTCCCGAGAGGAGAGCTGTGGAGTCTGAGCTCACTTCCTCTTCCTCCCAGAGTTCTGTTCTGTTTACTCCTCCCACCTATCTTCTAACCAATGAGGGCCAAGCAGTTTCTTTTTATTTAACCAATGACCTTCCTCCATCATTTCCCCTTTTTCGGTTTAAACAAAAAAAAAAAAAGGCTTTAACTTTAACATAGCAAAATTACATATAACAAAACAGTTATCAAGTAAAAGTTACAATAATCTTTATCATAACTAAGGAAAACTATAACTATAACTAACTATTCTTAACTCCATCAAAGACTCCAGAAAGATACAATACTACCTAAGCAAACAAGAAAAAAGCAACTTTTAAAACTCTAGAAATGACAGAGACATCTCGCTGCCTGGACAGTCACCCAAAGTTCCTCTGTACCGTTGGGGCATCCATCTTCAGCCTTCAGGCCCATGGTATCCAGCAGACATTTCCATAAAGCAGGAAAATTCAAAGTCAGTTCAGTCACTTTCTGCTGTGTCCTGCAGAATGTCTCGCAGACTCTTTCATGAATCAGGAACCCCAAAAGATCATCTCACCTTAGGCAAGTTCAGTAGTCCTCTCTCTGTAGGTTCTCTGTGTCCAGTTTATGCAATAGTCCAGGCAAGAGCAGTTTCTTGCCCAAATGGCTATCAAACTCCATAAGGAGCCTCTTCGATGCCCATCTTCTTCCTGAAGTAGATTGGTGCTGCCAGGAGCAGAGTGTCTCATTGTCATGAAAAGTCCTCAGTTATTAAAACATTTAAAATGCCATATTCTATAATCTTTGAAAAATATGAAGAATGCCTATCTAAAATATATCTATGTACATCTAGAAAATCTTAACTAATGTGACTACAAACTTGACTATTATGATTATCTATTAACAACCTATATTTCCTAATTATACATTTTAATAATGAACTACACAAACACAATACCTTAATCAATATCAGAAATACATATACATATAACAAAATTGACCGTAAATCTCTATCAATAAAGCAAAATCTATACTAATGCAAATTATTCATACCTATATCATATCCCCCTTTAAATGTAAAAGAACATTTATAAACATTTTTTGGGAATATGGCACAGTTATTTCTCTCCAAACTGCTTCCTGCTGAATGGGGGCGTCGTTAATTAGGTCTTTCATAGTATAACCTGTGTGCTAGTTTCATCTCAGTTGGCAGTTGAGCAAAGCAATTTTCTGAAGATGTTCACAGCAACCCTTCAGGAGGACGTGGTCCATCATACCAAATCGGAATAGAAGAAATGAACAGGGTCTCATCCTCTGTGAAAACAAAATAAGAAACTCCTTTCCAAAGCATCATGTCCTTAGATCCAAATTTCAAATTCAAGGCATTTTCAAAATATCTATGTTGGATTAGTTCAGCAGCATTTATAAACAAGTATCTTTTAGTAGTTTTTGCTCTTTCCTCAGCATTCAAACAATTCAAAGAGAGCATAATAGCATATAGTATCAAAAGTCTCTGTGTATTTTCCATCATCGTGCGGCTTTATTTTAATCTCTATTTCATTTCTTTTTACTTCTATTTTATATTCTCTGTATATCTTTGACCTGGAATAACTCTGTAGACCAGGCTGTCCTTAAACTCTCAGAGATCCGCCTGTCTCTGCCTCCCAGGCATTGGGATTAAAGGTGTAAGCTACTACACCTTGAACTCACAGAGATCTGTTTGCCTCTGCCTTCTAGGCACTGGGATTAAAGGTGTGTGCTACCACACCTTGAAGTCACAGAGGTCAATCTCCCTCTGCCTTTCAAGTGTTGGGATTAAAGGTGTGTACTACCACACACAACAACTCTCTTCCTTTTTTTGTTTTTTACTTTAAGAACTTCAACTTTTAGTCTGCATATATTTTTTTTAAATATTTATTTATTTATTTATTATGTATACAATATTCTGTCTGTGTGCATGCCTGCAGGCCAGCAGAGGGCACCAGACCCCATTATAGATGGTTGTGAGCCACCATGTGGTTGCTGGGAATTGAACTCAGGACCTTTGGAAGAGCAGGCAATGCTCTTAACCTCTGAGCCATCTCTCCAGCCCCTCTGCATATATTTTTAACACACTTTAAACCATTCAGAAATTTTCTTTGTCTTTGAATCTCTCTTTACTGTATATCTCTCTTTTTCTGACCACATGAATCTTTAATTTACCAAGCAATCTCAGTAGGACTAAAGGCGTGGCTTTGCCAGCTAGATCCAGTCCATTCCTTAGCTTTCCAGCCTCATGGCGGATATACAGGCTGTAGCCATGTTTACTGCCACAACTGTATGGCATTTCAAGGTCCCTGCCAGCAAGTGAGCTACAACAGACTACACTCAAGTCCTCTCTCGGTAGCCGGCCCTCCTGCCTTAAACAGTCAAGAGTTTGCCCTGGCAGGATGGCCCAGAAAGCCGGTATTTTAAAACAACACAGGTTTTTTCCTGCTGCTGCTGAAAACCGAAAAGCATGTGTTCAGCTTTTCGTCAACACCATTTAAGTGTTTCGTGGCAAGACCTCTTAATGAGCTGCAGGGTTTTGCAGCCAAAGCTGAGTCAGGAAGCTTTTCTTAGATGAGAGAAGCTTGCTTGCCTCTAGCAAGCAGAGTGCCACAAATGCTTTAAAGCCAGAGTTCACGCTGGCAGCACAGCCCCAAGAAGCTGTGCTTTAAAATGACACAGCGTTTTTTTCTTCTGCTGTTGCCGAATCAGGAAATCTCTCTACAGCACGCCACCAACAAACAGCAAAAATCTGTGTTAAACTCTCTCTCCCTTATTTTTAAGCCTTCTCAGGTTTTTTAGGTGGGTTTAGTCCATCACGTCGGGCGCCATTTGTAGTAATAAGGGCGGCGGGGCTGTGTCCCCAGTACCCCGGCTGCCTGGCTAGCTTATGCCCGAAATAACAACACACAAACTGTATTCATTTAATCACTGCTTGGCCCATTTCTATCTAGCCTCTTCTAGGCTAATTCTCACATATTAATTTAGCCCATTTCTAATCATCTGTGTAGCGCCCCTAGGTGCGCTTACCGGGAAGATTCTAGCCTATGTCCATCCTGGGTCGGAGCTTCATAGTGTGCGTCTGCCTGGGAGCTGGGAGCATGGCGTCTCTCTGAGGTGTCTGCTCCCGAGAGGAGAGCTGTGGAGTCTGAGCTCACTTCCTCTTCCTCCCAGCATTCTGTTCTGTTTACTCCTCCCACCTATCTTCTAACCAATGAGGGCCAAGCAGTTTCTTTTTATTTAACCAATGACCTTCCTCCATCAGTTATCAGCATACAGACGGGACTGAGAGTACTCACCTTAAGATGAAGTTTGGCCTGAAACAATTTAGCCAAGGATGTCTTTGAACTCAACAGCAATGCTCCTGCCTCAGTCTACCAAGAGCTGGCATTATAGACATGAGCCACCATGCCTCTCTTTCCTGATTTTTCGAAGTGTACTCTCTTTCTTTACTGGCTGCTCATTCAGAGATGATCTCACTACCCTGTATCTGACTCCCTCCAAGTCCACAAAGAACAATGTAAAGAATAAGAAGCCAATGCCAGGGGCCAGGAAAAGCTCAGTCAGCATCTAGCCGGTTGCCATGCTCCAGCAGATGCCCCACACTGAGGCACACAAGCAGCACTAATGGGATAGAGTAGAGTATTTAAAATAAATAAAGTGGGGAGGGACCCAGGGAGAATGACTAGAACGGAAAAATCTGGGGATCATGGTGGATACAATCAGAACACATTGGATGACTTCTCAAAGAATAATTTTTAAAAAAACTTTCAACGCTGAGTGTTTATTAGGAATAGGTAACACATGTGCACTGCATAAAGCTGTGAAGGCATAGGAATATTCTAAGAGGGGCCTGAACTGAATCTGATCTTCCCCTCGATTTACTAAAACAAGAGCGTTTGCCACATTAGCTTGGGGACATGTTTGTTTGGGGACAGGCATTGACCTGTGAACTGGACAACTATGTCCAATGTGTCCAAGAGAATCCAGTCTCTGCATTACAAACATTATAAAGACAATGTAGGATCCAGAAAGAAGGATGAACATTCTTTCTGCACCATATACACTATAAAACTAGGCAATTTTTAGACACATTGCTTGTGATTGTTAGCTTTCTAACCTATGAACTAGGGAGACAGTTGTCAGCTTCATTAAGCTCTAGTAATGTGGTTGAGTTAAAGGCAATTTTTAGACACATTGCTTGTGATTGTTAGCTTTCTAACCTATGAACTAGGGAGACAGTTGTCAGCTTCATTAAGCTCTAGTAATGTGGTTGAGTTAAAGTTCAATGTTGCACAGGAGTGGTAGTGCATGCCTTTAATTCCAGCACTCAGGAAAAGTCAGGCAGGTGGATCTCTAGAGGCCGGCCTGGTATAAAAAAAAACCTGTCTCAAAAAGGAAAAAAAAAAAAGTTAAATAGTTTGCTCTGTTTTTGTCTTTGATGTTTACTTTATGTACATGAGTATTTTGCCTGCATGTTTGTATGTGGATCAGAAGGGGCAGCTGTGAGCTCCCATGGGGATGCTGGGAGCTGAATTCAGCTCTCTGCAAGAACAAGTGCTCTGAGCTTCTGAGTCATCTCTCCGGCTTTCAACACTGTCTTCAGCTTTCTTTGTGGAGTATTCTCACAAAGGTTTCTTACAGTTGTTATTTGGTGTCTGCTTTGTTTTGAGACAGAGTCTTACTCTGTACCCCAGGCTGGTCTCAAAGTCACAGCAGTCCTCCTGTCTCAAAGTTTAACTCCATGTGCACAGATTTCCACTTGGGGGAGGGGGAAACTGTGAAAATGACAACACTTCCATGAACAGATTCTATTTAACAGAACCAAAGACTCCCTGACAATTACCTTTTGTTCTTCTCTTTCTGTTGCATGGTGGCATTTTTCAATTCTCCAATGCCTCAAGAAATCTCGAAGATATCCAAAGAGAGTGAGCACGCCATACCCCACATATGTGAGCACGGCAACCAGCATGGGTGTTTCTTCAAAAACTTCATTAAACGGTCTTTTATAAAGTCCTCCGTTTTCTGTAACATGATGAATCTAAGAGAGCAATTAAAATTGTTTGTTGAAACCACAGCAAGAAAAAAATTTTCTACTTAAAATCCAAGTCCTGAGAGATTTGTAGAACAATATACCTTGAGAATTGAGTAACAGGCTAGTGAACATGCTAAGGGTGCTTACTGTCAAGAGAAATGATGTAAAAATCACTTATGAACAAGGAAAGGTAGGAAAAGAGACAATCAGAATCAACACTGATCTTATCATTGATTTTTCCCAGATTCCAAACACTATTATCTCAGGGAGCATTGTTCTAATAAAGAAAATAAAAATATATAAAAAGAGACAGGCTAGTCGGGCGGTGGTGGCACACACCTTTAATCCTAGCACTTGGGACGCAGAGGCAGGTGGATAGCTGTGAGTTTGAGGCCAGCCTGGTCTACAAGAGCTAGTTCCAGGACAGGCTCCAAAACCACAGAGAAACCCTGTCTCAAAACAAAGTAAATTTTTTACTACCAGCTATCCTTTTTGTTTGTTTGTTTTTTGATTTGTATTTCAAGACAGGGTTTCTATGTAGCCTTGGCTGTCCTGGAACTAGCTCTGGAGACCAGGCTGGCCTTGAACTCAGAGATCCACTTGTCTCGGCCTCTGAGTGCTGGGATTAAAGGCCACACCAGTCACTCTTAAAGCCACACAGCTGTAGTATCAAATGACTGTTGGCACAGGGCTGCAGCAGGTGCCTATTAACTTTCCTCAGTGATAACACACACATAAAAGTAAAAGGAGGCTGTGGAGAGAGCTCAGCAGCTAACGGTTCATTCCCTAGGATCCACAGGCTGAGCTCCCACACATGAGCTGTACGGATGTAGCACACAGTGCCCACAACAACACCTGTAATACAGCCAGGAGAGAAGAGTTCCTTAAACGGGGTATGAGAAGAGGATGGAGAAAGAAAAGGGTAGGAACACCAACCAAAACTAAAGATTATGAAGAGCCTTGCAGAAACCAAAAACTCTGTAAAATAATCCTAAAAAATTTTTTTAAGGGATTTCAATGGATACTCTGGATAGGTAGATAAGGCTTCCCCGAGAAGACCCCTAAATACACACACTTTTAATTAATTAATTAAAGAATAAAGCCTGGCAGTGGTAGCATACACCTTTAATCCCAGTACTAGGGAGACAGAACTGCCAGCCTGATATACAGAGCTAGTTCTAGGACATTCAGGACTGCGCTTGTGCAGACACGCATGCGTGCGTGAGCAAGCATAAACACACACACACACAAACCCAACAAGCCCTCTGTGGGGGAAGAAGAAGTAAATGATAACAAAGAAGGTGATACTTAATTTAGGAAGGCCAAATGTTAAGAACACCAGCAGCTGTCAGGAATTGATCCTGACTCCCTTTATTTTGATCTAAGTATACATTCCCAAACTTCTACAGATTACCCCTATTTTACCATTTCAGATATGTCTGTTGTTTTTTTATGGAGACAGGGTTGCATTGTGTCACCTAGGACAGCTTCAAACTTACAAATCTTCTGCCTCAACTTCTGAGTGCTGGGATTGCAGATATGTGCCACTATGCCTGGCAGCACTTGGGTTTTAATATACAAACACAAAGATACTTTTGATTTCAATGATTAAAACATTTTACTATTTGGTTAATTTTAATAAAAATCATATTTTACAGAAGAAAGCCCTGAAGAATGAACTAATGACATCAGACTGCAGTTAGGGCAATCAATCAAAACTACTAAGAGCACATGATCAAAAAAAGCAATGTACAGGACTCCTGTCATATGAATTACTATAGTAGAGCAGTATCAAAGGATTCAAAAAGGTCCTCTCTTGCTCTGCCAGGCATTCCTGATTAAAGGTATAATGTAAAAACAAATAGGAACTTACAGCCAGGCGGTGGTGGCACACGAATTAATCCCAGCACTTGGGAGGCAAGGCAGGTGGATCTCCGAGTTCAAGGTCAGCCTGGTCTACAGAGTGCCAGGACAGCTAGGGTACACAGAGAAACCGCATCTCAAAAAAAAAAAAACAACACACACACACATAAACAAGCAAACAAATAAAAAAAAAGCGAGTAGTAAGGAAGATACTAACATCAACCCTGGCCTCTGCAGGTACACACACGGAAATTCTAGCATCTCATGCCCTCCAGTCGCAATTATAAGCACACAAAAATGTGTTGCTGATAGTACTAGTCAAGAGAAGATTCCCAAATTCCAATGAACACCAAGGTGCATTTGCTTCAACAGGACTGTTACCGATCAAGGAAATACAAAAGAAAACAAAACAAAAAGGAAGACTTTCCTCTCCAGTCAACACTACAAACACACAAGCATAAAACACACTGCAAGACAAAGGGGAAAAAAATTCAAACACACTATTTTGTCCGTAGCCTTTTTGCTGTCAAGCAACCATATTCATGATGCAGCTGAAAAGGCTGGAGAGGTGGCTCAGTATTAAGAGCAATGGCTGCTCTTCCAGAGGATGTGGGTTTGATTCTCACCACCCGCACGGCAGTTCACAACTGTCTGTAGCTCCAATTCTAGGGGATCCAATGACCTGTTCTGGCCTCTGCAGGCAGCAGACCAACAAGTGGTGCACAGATACACATGCAGACAAAACACCCATACACATAAAATTAAAAGACAAAATGAAAAAGAAATGGTACCTTAAACCAAAGCAATAATGGAAAGATGTACTCAAAAGATACACACGCACACACGCATGTATGTATATGCTAAAACTGACTAGAACGAGACGTAAGGAATCAGGGTGGTGAGGCTGGTAAGGTCACTATCTCAGTGGTTAAGAGCACTGGTCAGCTCTTTTAGCAAACCTGAGTTTATCACATTGCCAGCACCCACACAGAGGTTCAAACTGTCTGTTCAGTTCAGCCCCAGGGGATCTGATACCCTCTTCCAGCCTTTGAGGACAGTAGGCACAAACCATGGTAAACACACTATAGATGCAGGCAAAACACCCATATACATTAAATAAAAATTTAAAGAGAAACAAAGTAGGTAGAAGAGAGAATGGACAACCCCACAGCATCCTCTAAGCCATTCTGAGGCTTCTTAGTTTCTTGTTAAGTTTGTCTGTACAGAGCTTTATTAGCCCAGCTAGACTCACACTCACTATATACTGAGGAAGGCCTTGAAACCCCTAACCTTCCTGCTCCACCTCCTAAACTCTGGGATTACAGGTATGTACCACCTCACTCAGCCAGTCTGATTCTTGTCTCTTTTTCTAGTCAATACTATTACTGAGTTTTTACTTGAATTTTGCTTCTGATTCTACTCACTATTTAGATTTAAAAAAAAAAAAAGCTGCCTATGACTACCATAACTCAGGCCATCTGACTAGCCATCAGAATCTCCAACCTATTGATATTGCTACACAATGCTGTGATCTACAAAGGTCACACTTAAAAACCAAACAACATGACCTCTGAATGTGATATATGTCAAAAGACGGGCAGATCCCTGTGAGTTCCAGGCCAGCCAGCTATATAGAGTGATATCCTGCCTCAAAAACAAACAACCTTGTAACAAAAAAAAACAGAAATAATCAACAGTTTATCATCTTTTTGTGTTGGACACAATCATTTGTAGCTGCTATCATGGGGAAGAGGCTTATTAGTTCTCAATAGGCTTCAGAGGCTGGGGCAAACAAATCTACGTTGCGATCCCAATTTACTCCCCACAACTCTACATTTCCATTTGCCTCCATCAACAAAACTAACACTGAAGGTACCTTCCCACCCAGCCCCTCCTCCCTCCCCAAACCCGATTCTCCCTGTTACATTCCCTCTTTTGGTCACCAGCATCACCACCCAGGCGACCCTGGCTCCCAAGTTTGCAGTCATCTTTAGCTCCACCTTAGTTTTTGGCTTCCACCCAGAGTTGTTGGTTCCAGACCTTCTTGTTTGGCACCAGGAAGTGTGCAGGGTCTCATGCAGCCCAGGAAGGTCTGGAAATCACTACATAGCCAAAGATTATCTTGAAGTCCTGATCCTGTCTCCACATCCCAAGTGCTAGCTAGGGTCACCACAGCCGTTGGCATCAGAGTATTTGGCAGGGGGGGAGGGGTGCTGAAAATGTTGCATACCTTGACAGGGACAGTATGCAAACACACAGAAGTGAAAATTCGACAGCCTGGTACAAGAGACTAGCATATTCTACCCCTCAAAACTTTTTTTACTATTACAATATCCTTCTTGCTATCTGGTCTCCACATCCCATGGGCTCTCCCGATAGACCAATAACCATACCCAAACAAATGCAATCACAACACTCCCTTGCTCAAGTATCAGTGTCTTTATAAGTCTCAAGTCACCATCATGGCACCCAACTAAGTCTGTAGCCTTGTGAGGCTGACATTTCTTCCTCCTAGCTCCTGAGTTCTTTGTGCCAGTCACAGAAAACTTCTTGCCAGTCTTTAAAAAAAAAAAAAAAAAAAACCCTCTTCCAAGAATGAAACCCTTCCTCAAGTAATGCCCACTGCTGAAAAGTCAAGACATAGTAAATTAAGTACATTACTTAGAAATGAGATTAACCCCAGAGACCGTGGCAAAAAGAGAAAACGGAAAACCAGTGCTTCTGAAGATGAAGACGGTCAGGAGAGAAGGCTGTAGCGTATTTCACAAGTCTTGTGGAGTTCAGATGCTTAGAGCCGTGGGCTAAAATTGAAGTAAAGGGATTTATTGACTCAAGAAAAAAAAACAGTGAATGTGTGTGTGTGTGTGTGTGTGTTCCTTAAGGAAAGAAAAAGACAGGAAGAATAGTGGAGGGAAAGGGAGAGAAAGTTGGAGAATATAGCATAGGAGCAGAGCGTTTGAGAAATATAAGGGGTGGAGAGAGGAGGGGAGGAGAACAGAGATAAGGAGACAAAAAATTCTCTTTCTGAGCCATCTCTGAATCAGCTACAGTTATTGTTAGCTTTTAATATTTGAGAGCATTATTTATTTATTTATTTATTTATTAAATTTATTTATTTTCATTTTATATACATTGATGTTTTG